TGGCGATTTGTGGGCAGAACTCCAGTCTCGGACGGGACTCGAACCCGTACTTGTCCTTTCCGGGGACCGTGCTCTTATCCCTTACACTACCGAGACCCCGCTTAAAACAGCAGTTAACAAACATCAAGTCAAAATAGATGCCACTGATAGATTATAGGGAAGTGCCTCTTCTTATTCAAGAAGGAAGGTCGTGATGAAAAAAGAATGGAAAACGATTTCGCTCAATGCCATTCTGTCACTCTTCATCTTGTAACCGATTACTTCCAAGTAGATTTTTTCATAAAAAGAGGGTGGGGTGATTGCCAATCCGTCCTTTAGGTAACAAAAAACAGAGCAAAAAACACTTTTGCAGAGTAGGCTCTGTATTCAGCGAAAAGAGTGGAGAAAAAAGAAGAGAGAGAAAATGGGAACCAAAAAGCTGCAGGGATTAGCCTTGTTTAGCAAATCTACAACCAAGTAAAAAATTTGCAAATTCAATTTTTAGGGTTGGGGCCTTTTCCAGTTGAATTCGATTATTGTTGTGTGATTATTCAGTCATTTGAAGATTGAAAGAAGGTGATGTAGTATCAAAAGGGACACTGTCGTACACATGACCCAGTGATCGAACCCCGAATCTAGATTCGTTCAGTAACAAAGTCTTCATCTCTCCCGAGACATTCGATTGCTACCAGACTCGTCCGGGAGGATAAATGCAAGGACTGTGAATCAGTTGACCACTAAAATCATTGTATTGGCACCACACGCATTCAAACCGTCAATCTTATTCGGAGCGGAAGTCGAGTGTGGGGCTTAGCTGAAAAACGCGATTAGCTAACGCCAACAGACTTTTCTTCCTGGGTTTTAGCTGTTGAAAATCCCACACAAAACCCTTATCGGAAACGATTTCTTTCTATTCACCGAAGAAAAATGTCTCAATTGAGAATATGGAAAAGCCACTTGAAAACAAAAACTATCAGGAAGATATCAGGAGACAACGTAGGCGTCTTCGACTTACAGATGACTAACGACTTAGCTGTAATGAGTCTAAATGTCGAGTAGAAGGATTTTATGCTCAATTTTCGGCTCACAGAACGAACACAGAAGGGTGCATGTTTATAATGACGTCATCGTACTTCTTTTCTAATTTTGCACTCTCTTAATGAAAAATCGCATTATTCATTGATAAGCCCCGCCCTCACCTCGATACAAAGGGAAACATTCAGGGTTGAGCAAAAAACTGTAATATGTCCTATATAACATCTACGTAGTAAAAAACTGTGAAAACGAGTTCATATGGGTTCCACCCATTTGCTGAAGGATCAGAGCCTATCCATTCTCACAGCCGTTTGCTTAGTAGTCCGATCAGCTCTATAAGGGCACGTGATCAAAATTTAAAAAGCCTAAACCTTGAATTGATCAGAACGAAGTTCTTGAATTACGAATACACTTTGAAAATAAAACGAGAGAACCTAAGAAAGTGACGATTGAATCGATTTAACCATGTAAGTAAGAATAACTAGGGTCTAGTAGAAGCAAAAAATACTGAAGATCATAAGTATAAATCAAATAGATAGAAAAATCGATCACACTGAAGGACAGCTACTCCACGCTTAAAAAATTTTCATAAAAAATTCTTTTTAAATCATCTGCAAAAAGAATTCTACAAAATCGTCCAGGAGTATTTTTCCATTTGATCCTTGTAAGAAGAAAATCGTTTTTAATTTATTCCAAACTTTTTCTAAAATTTTAAGTAGATAACTAAATAATTTTTCTCTGAATCAAAATCCAAAGAAACTTTGCTTTTGCTTGAAGCATCCTCATAACTCATCTAATTCATCCTAGAACAAACTTTTTACAAGCCATTCAAAGAATATTTCTATTTTTTTTCGAAAAAGCTTCCAATTCGATCTTGAAAATAAGTTTTTGTGATTTATTCTCAGAAACAGACCTCTCTACCTTCTCCAGTTCTAACCACTTACTATCGAATCTACAAGCACTATGGAATAGCCGAAGAATTTGCTAGCTCAAGCGTTTTTCATCTTCTCCGAGCTCCCATTTTAACAACTTTCACTCATTACCTTTTCAAATGTAATTACGTTGTTTACTCAATGAATGAATAAGTGGTTGACCAAAATCAAAACCTGCTACTTAGGATAACAAGTTGTTAATGTAAATTATTACTAGACAATGGCAAAAAAGTAAACGATTGGATGGAAAACACAGAAAGGCATGCATAGACGCAACGGCACACATGGCAACTGAGCTCAGTTCGTGAATACAATAGGGAGAGGTCCGTTAGATCACCAGAGCCGATTTGCTCTACAAGTAACTTTGACTCGGTTACATTTTTTTTGGTCCAAGAACATGAGCAATGGGGTGAAATCTTTATTTTCATCAGTGGACAAACCTAACATGATTTTACCCGAATGTCCCAGTTCCGGGTGAATCTTCTTACAACAGAACGAGCTTTCTGCGCAGCATTTTCGCCAGTTCACGCTTGCTGACTGCCGCCTGAAAAAATTAGTAGAAAAATAATAATAATAATTCGCATTTCAAGCACTCGAATCTGAAAGGGAAGAACTGACCACATCAATTACAAATACATGACTTACTTTGGATGAATACTGTTCATCGGGACGCTGAATTGCGGGTGATGCTACTCGTACATTGCTTACGCCTTCATCGAAAACAGCACGACTTTCTGGTAGAGGATTAGCTATTCTTGGTGCAGCGGCATTCGATGTTGCTCCAGTATCGTACGAATCTTTTGGTTTTTTGGATCTATCGGGGCATTTGCAGTACTCCGCGTCGGCTCCATCACCTCCCGATTTTCCTGCGGGACCAGGGAAACCGTCTGGCCCAGGATCACCTGGTGCTCCCTAGAAAGTAGAAAATATCGACACAAGTTTTACTTATGGGAAGGTCCGAGCTGCTCACCACTGGTCCAGGTGGTCCTTGAGGTCCTGGTTTCATATCATCTCCTCTTTCACCTGGCAATCCTTCGTCTCCAGGCATTCCAGGTGGTCCCATTTCTCCACGAGGTCCTGGTGCTCCTTTAACGGTGCCCTTGGCCGGTTCGCCAGGTGGACCTGAAGACGCATGCCTTTCAAAATGCATTCTATTTGTTATAGTCAGCCCACACGCTGAATGCTGAGATTGTACCCATGGGAACATGTCGTACATCCAATCTGTGGGCCCTCCTATTTTCAGGAAATGCACCTCTTGAAAGTACATCCCCTGAAGAAAAGGGAAGGTCCCATAAACCACATGATCGACAGATTCCCTATGAACAGGAGCTCACCTCGTGGTCCAGAAGCACCGGGTGGACCGGGGTGGCCGGGATCTCCAATTGGTCCAGGCTCTCCATCGTTTCCATTAGAACCAGGCGGTCCTGGAGCTCCCTTTTCGCCCTGCGACAATTGTCATGAACCTTTCAGAAGGCAATTTGATATAAAGGCCTAAGTCACCTTAGCACCCCTGGCTCCTCTCTTTCCCTTGTAGCCAGCCAAGCCTGGTGGTCCTGCTGGACATGGAAGGCATTCACCTCCACTGATACCATTGAGTCCATTTCCTGATCGTCCCGGCTTACCGGGTGTTCCGTTCTGTCCATCAACGCCTAAGCATACGATCACAGCTCATACAATTCATTCAGAAAAAGGATAAATGATACGTTCAGACCTACCCTTTAAGCCTTTACTCCCGGGTGGCCCCTTCGGTCCTGCAGGACAAACTAGTGTCTGCTTTGTTACTGGCTGCTGGTAACCAGGTCTCTCGACCACTTGTTCGGTTTTATCTGAACGGTGTAAGGAAATTTAGCCACGCTCATTCAAGACCTAGTGTACCAACATGATGTCTGTCGTCGAGCCCTGCGGATATTTCCGCCTTCACTGATGAGGTCCTTCCACATGAAGTTCGACATCTCTTCGTAATTGAGTCGTGACTCGAGGAGTTGCTCTTCGATGTTGTTCATCATTACGAACAGTGTCGGTATGGAGGTGACCTGAAGACATACAAAAGTCTCTGTCTGAGATTCCGAACCCCCTGCCTGGCTAAGCTGAAGAAACGAAAGACAACCTAATCTTACCAATGCGACCAGTGAAACTCCTGACATCAGAATCGCTATGTTTGACGTGCGATGCAATATTGGCGGACATTTCTCCTCCATCTGAAAGGAAAGAGGACTTATTATGTATTGACCAGGAAAATTGGCATGGAATTTAGATGTAAGCACAGTTTGAAGAAGAAGTGAAACTCGCCTTTTATACTCCATAACGGCGATTTCCATCTTTGACGCCTACCGGGAGAAATTTCCTATCGAGTAGCCCATCTCGCTCATATGACATACTTTCTCACACATTCTCGCATGAATGAATCTTCATTTTATTCGATCCTGTTTTTAAAGATGAAAGATACAAGTAGTAAAACTACTGGCTGACCCCTTGATACGGATATGTCATGTGGACTTGAGGACTGGACATCGTTCGAGGATGAAAAGACGCCATTGACCACTAAAGTATTCAAATCACGAAGTCATGGTAAAACACTTTGTATTGCTCCAAGATAACATAAAACCCGACAGAGCGAAAAAAGGCTCCTTTAGCGCGACCTCCCGTACTTTCTCAGGCTCTGTTTAGGGAAGGGACCGTTCTGGAAACGGTATGAAAGTTGGCTCAAAGCCCGACTTTGCACAAACACCCTTCAGAAAGAAGATGGTATACGCTACCACAGTAGCACAACTTCATGAGAACGTTCCTTCAAAGGATTAACAAAAGACTTCTCTCATCGTAATTTATTCGCTTGCTATGCAAGCATGCGCTCTTATTCATGGGCTACGGACACTTCTACTGCGTTCTATGAGACTGTAAGTAAAGGAAAAAGAATGAACCGGTACCATTCGTACCGTACCGAATAGCAATTTCGAGCACAAATTACTCATTGAAAAATTTATTCAAGTGGGAGAATATCACATTGTAAATTAAAAGGCACATAAATTCTATTTAACAATGAGAGGCATATTTATTGCTACAGTGGAGTGGTTTCCGGTGAGGTCAACGAAGTGATTTTCAAGTGCTGAGCATACAGCTGGTCCCATCATAGGCCAATACAATTTGGGTGGACCGGATAACTGAATACCTGCAATTTTAACTTTTTTCTTTCAGTAATCATTTCATTTCATTGGAAGAAAGGACAGTGTTTTCTCTTTTCACAGTTCATTTTAATTCATTGAAAGGAAGGATGGTATCCGGAAATTGAATTTGAGAAACTTATCCCTTACCCTTAAACAGCAGAAAAGTTCCCAAATGGATGAACTTTCCGAAAACTTTCAAGTTTACTCACCTCAAAATCTAGGTTGAGTCGTTCCCTTCGCTCTGTTCGGAGGTAGCCAAGACTGATACTTGTATTGAAAGCTTTCATTGCCTCCACTCCACAATGTTCGAGCAATTGTCGCAATACACATACTCTCATCTGGAACACTTGATATGACGGTACTATCGTTGTATGCGGCAACTCAAACAGGCTCAATTCAAACAGACAAGTGCAAATTGCGAACGAAAGACTATTTAGATGGAAAGAGTCCTATTTTAGGCTACTGGCAGTCTACATAGCTACATGTACCAAATAATGCAGTGACTGTCATAAAAACGTAATTTCACGCGGACCTAGCGCCAGGGAATCACCCTAAGAGGAGGAGGGGAAGTCAAAAAAAAATGCTAAGCCGTCGAACAGGATAAGACCAAAAAATTTTCAACAAGTTGGTTGCAAATATAGAGTCGATTGGCTTTCTAAAAGATAGGCCTTGGAATAAGTTAACAATGTCCATTCAAAAGTTACCGTTAATGAACAATTTTCTGAGAAATAGATATGAAATAAATATATTTGGCAGACGGTAGGCGATACAAATTACTCACTTCTCTAAAAAGTCCGCATTTTGATCCTTCCAAAAACGCTATCGAGCTCATCGCTTTCTCAAAAATCTTCAGATCCTCTCTCCTGTCATCCCTGGAACCGTCGAACTTAAGAGAAGGTAATAGAAGTTTCGAACCTCTGTTTTCCAATGTCTCTGAGCATGATTTTATAAACCAGGCATTTTATAAAACTTCATATAATGAACCTGTATGCTTGCATTCATAAACTTCATTAGGCATAAAACACATGATAAATTCGACAATTCGTAAATGAGTGAGGAACATACCCAGTAGTTGCTTTCACCTTCTTCACAGCATTGTCATAAGTATCCGCTATGCGTTGATTGACGCTGTCCCGTAGTGTTGAGTAGGTATTAACTTGCTAAAGCAATGATAGCATTTCTATCACTCAATCATTGTTTCAAGTTTCCAATTTTATTCTGTGGTGCAAGAATCCGACCGTAGCCCCTTCACGGTCACCGCTTTAATTTGCATCAACCTTTGCACACACCCCGAAAGTCAAAGGGCAACAACCTGATTCTTGCAAGTGCGCTGTCACAGCAATGTATCGCTTTAGACATAGAAGATTAAGCTTTTATGGTGCCGACACGGGACGGGAACACTTCTAGGCAATAACTACATTTTATGAACCGTTTGCTAGAGTGTTCATCCAAGATCAAGTTTGAGATTTCATACTCAGCGACGGCGAATATCCGGTCGCAATGAGGCGGTGTTCCAGATTTATTTTCATGGAAGTAATAAAAGAAGGCCGACGGAGGGTGTGCTGAGAACGGTATACTTGAACCCCAACAAAATTTTGTCTTTTCAGATAAACCATATTCAATAACAAATCGAATCATTCTCATGTGCCTACCTCTGAACAGGGTTCAATCCATTTGCTAACATCGTGGCCAACACATGGATAGACTCTCTTGATGAAATCCTTATCTTTACATTCTTTTTCAAACATCATTCTGTAAAGGGCAGATTTCCAAATTCCTTTGCTTTTTTTGTCAGTAAGAAATTTTGGTGTACATACTTTACCTACTTATGGTTTCCGATTTTCTTCAGCTCTGCAACTCGCTTCATAGTCACTTCTATTCCTTCGTATTCAGCACCACAAGTGAGTTGCTTTTCATGCTTAGCGCAGGCCTTCAATACAAAGTATTATTAGGAGAATAAAAGCCTCCAACTTAGGCTATTACGATTGCACACCCAAGAGTGCTATTTACGAATTGAATACATTTTCATTACATGACTCTAGAAAAAGAGCCTAAACTCAATTGAAACCCACAGCTTTGGCAATACGTTCCATGTGATATGGAGGCAGCGTCATAAACAATGCGGTGAACTCTTTCATTCCAGCTTTTTGCAACCAAACAGCATTCGTGACATTGCCGTGTCTTGAATCCTCTTTTGTGATACCAAACGAACAGAACAGAAAAAATCTTTACATCTTTACAGAAAATGAAATATATTGGAAAAAGCTTGGGATTACATACCTGAATGCGTCGTCCTGGACACTGTCTGTCCAATTGCGTTCGATGTTGTTGCATTTCTCAAGACCATCCAAGTAATACGAGTTTCTGAAAAAAATTAACGAGTGTCTCCATAACACAATTTCAATATGAAAAAAAAACTATATAGCGAGCGGAAGACGATATAAAGTTGTCAAAAATGCAGTACTGTAATCAGAAAAGAATAAAGTAGCATGGCAGTTTTCTCAACTAAAAACTTCTACCCTATAATTTTCTAAATCAAACAAAAGCAACTAGCATTCATCGAAACTATATGGCACTGCTTTGAAGCAGAACAGCCATGCTCCAACAATCCAGTTGCTAACTTCAAAATTTGATGACTAATTAGAAACTTGCAATTGAAATGGATCCAGATAATTAAAAATAGTTCGATCGAAAGGACAAAGTACTTAGAGAAGACTTATCCAAAAAAGAGCTGGCTATAAGCTTCACACATCAATGATCACAGACGTTTATCGCGGCCGCAATATAACTGTCATGGTTACCGTAACGTGACGATCACGGTGCCTGATGGTGGGTTTTATGACCCAATCAGCTGCCCACCTCTACACCTTTACGACTTCTGAACAGCCTGTTAGAAAACTTGAAACGCCGCGACAAAGACAGCCTTGTGGGTTGGTTGATGACCTCTAGCGGTTACCCACTATCGATTACGATTAGCAAGAAATTAAAACGAGATTGGTAATCAATGAAAAGATTATGAAAAAATCACCAATATCGTGTTTATACTGAACTTCGTAAACAACCAATAAAACAGTAGCAACGGAGGACACCCACCTTTTTAGATGATCTGTTTCTCCGACAACTTTTTTGACGAATTCGACCTTAGCTGAAAACAAAATCAACTTAAAGTATGATCGATTGAAAAATAAACAGTGAGCAGCCAATTTGGAATACGCCATGCTTTTACCAATTGTTTGAAATCAGCTAAGGTGATGAGGTGGTATTGCATGCAAACCAAGTTAAAACATCCAAACCCTATGCATGACAATGAAAATGCTCTCGCCCGATCAATGATACTCTTTTAGCAGTTCGAACACAGAATAATAGACAGTAGTAATCGTAGCAGCTTCAGAAAACGGAAAGAAGGGAAACTACAATTATCCTGGCGATCCACTTTCTATTGCTCAGCTATCGCATGACAGCAATTCGAACAAACTCTCCTCAGACATGACCTTTATAGCAAAAAAGGAGGGCCTTTTCAAAAAAGGAGCTTACCAGTAAGAATTTAAAAGTATTTCATTTTTCATTATTAGCTCAAAGTTACCAGTTCCGCTGAAATGACTCTTCTCTTGTCACTTGCGAGCGTGCCCCAAAGTACATCTCTTAGTGAAAGACCTCGACAACAAAATTACCCAACTGAGCGGAAAAAAATTCCCTAGAACAGTGAACGTTTTGAATATGATTTTAGCGTCCTTCCGAAATTCCTATTATTTCACAAAAAAATGTCTGCTGCCTAAACTGTTCAATGTGATTGACGTCTTATAGGTGCTAAGCTAATCTATCCTCCAACTTAACTCACTTAGAACTTCATGAACAATCAGTACACAAACTCAACGTTGATACTCAGCTACAGCTAGCTTTGAAGTCAAAAAATATAAGGCAGAAATGACTCTTTTGCTCAGTTCAACTCCAACGGTTCTAACAAAAATACAGAAAACCTGGAATATTAAAAATACAAACAATTGAGAAAACCAACATCTGCTAGAGATATTTGTACCGGTAGGAATTATGGGAGGGTTAAACGGATAATGTCCAAGGAATATTCAAAAGGAATCGGAAGGACCTTTGTAAGTAAAGGGAAATCCGAAATGTAAAAACTTAAGTCGCAGCTAAAGTAACAGCAAAAAGGGCGAAAATTACTGAACTTGGCCGCTCTATAAGTTATTAAATAGGAGAGACAGAACACCCAAGCATCCCCTGATTTATTAATTGATTATTGAAATCCGTGATTATCCCTGGCTTCCAGGCGGGGCGAGAATGATTATGAAGCCAGTGGCAAGGCGGATTAGCTGCCACTCTTGCCCTGCGGCCGGTCGATGTCAGCCACATCGGCATCATCCCTGGAGAAGCCTCGTGTAGCCTAAGCAACCCAACTTCGGCCACTCACTGATGCTTCACGTCTCCCTTATAGCCTGGTTCGAACGCAATACAACAGAATGACCACAAGAAACTAACCTTTTCGCCCAATGTCTCTGACTTCATCGAGTTCTCGCGATGAAACCCCTTCGAAAATCCACGTCGAGACGGTCGGCTTCAGAAGGCCACAGATGATGAGGACGACGATGTCAGGTGTTACACGCATCGCTCGACTGCCGACACTCGTCATCCCGCCCCTCGAAGGTAACCTGCAGTTGATAGCCACAACCACGCCCACATCGACGGCATCACCTACGGCCAGCAACGGAGGCGGTGGTCGTGGCATGCTGTCGATCGACCGTCGGACTGGAATTCTGACAGCGAGAAGGAAAGTCACTCAGAAGGTGAGACTTCTGCGAAAGAAGCGATTTTAGACAATCTTGTTCCTAGAAGTACTGTGATTCCAGGCTCAGCAGATTGATGGCGAGGAAAGAAGGAAGACAACACGAGTGCGACCTGAGTCACTACCTCTGGTATCTTCTACTATACACATTGTTGAACGACTCAATTTCTTGTTCAAAACTGTTTCCAGGTAGTACCAAATGGGTGCATTCGATCAAATGGAAGCAGCACAGGTTCGAAAACGCGACCAACCATTACCGAAATGATCGACAATCAGGAACCTCCTATTCGGTTGCGTGCATTACCACCTCTCCGACACTGTATTGAAAGAAAGAAGAAACCAGCGAGGATCCATCCAATTCTATCGAAACGGGATGATACAACAGGTTAGGCATTACTCGCGTTCATCTGTTTCTATCAGTAGACTAAAAAGGGGCACTTGATTAGGAAAGTCTTTCTAAAAGATCCAACAAAAAAAAAATCTTCAACTCAAACCACACAGAAAGTGGGTANTGATACAGGAAGTGAAGGGCATGAACCAAGAAAATCCTCCATGAATCCAATTGCTTCCGCCAATCTGCAACATGTCTGCAAAATGAAAATGACTGCAGAACATATATCTGATGTCAGTTCATTCACGAGAATGTTTTCAGAATTTCNAAAAAAAAAAATCTTCAACTCAAACCACACAGAAAGTGGGTAGAGTCCAGTGGGTGAGCAGGTGTGTGAGGCGATGTCTCACATTCAGCCTGTCGTCGAATCGATTCGCCAACTATCACCTCTAATGACCATAACGAGGCATCCATTAACGATTATCTCATTGATGCCATATGAAGTGTAAACAGCTATATTCCACAGCATAGTAATTCGGACGGAGCTGTTAGCGCGACAGTTGGGGATGCTGTGCAATCGTGCACTATTAAGACTCGTATCGTCTCCTAACCAATCAGGTGTTTCTTTCGGATCATTCAGTTTTTGGGAGAAAGAACTGGAAACAGTAATCGACAGTACTCGAAAGCTTTTTCCTTTCCGCACTTTTTCAGCCATTACAACGCCATATTCCCAGGAAGGGTCAGAGTTCCCTTACAGTACCTGAACGCTAGAACTATAATAATCCGACCGTAAAACGAGTCTTTTTTAATCGTGAATGAAGTGAATGAATCGTTCTGTCAAAGAGTGAAACAAGAAGGCATGTAGTATTGAAGACCTTACCCATTCAGCATTACTCAAATATCACTTCCGGGATTCTCAAGAGAAAATCACTCATTAAAGATATTTCAGATGCGCAGCAGCCATCTGCAGTCGTTTGCATTGCCCCTCAACTGGGCTCGCTACGTCGGCCAACCCCTGATTCGGAAGAAACCGTTAACCTGGTCACGCCACTTTCTCAACGTACTCCATCAGTAATTGTTGAGCTCGGAATACAGACAGACGACGTACGTTATTTCCTGCCTTTTCAAATTCTCATGACACTTGAATACTTACATAAACGCTTACTCTACACTTGGAAAGAACAAACTTGAACTGATGTAAATGCTGAGCGAAAACCCACGAAAGTCAAGTAAATACTTAATAATTTTGAGAACTGAGAGGTGCCCAACAGAACAGTATAAGGTAGGGGCTAGGCAAGGGCACACCAGTCCCAGAAGCTAGTTGTTGATTATAGTTGAATATAATAGTTCGAAATCAAGTTTTCGTGTTATGAAAACACCCACAAACTCCTTTTGAAAATTATCAATCTTATCGTGTGCTTAAGAAGCACTCAATTTTGTTAGGTTACCCAGCTTCCTAAGCCATTATTCACATCCGGCATTAGTTAAAAAGTGGCATGGAAAGCAAGTAGTTGTCTATCTTAATAATGAACTCAACAAAAGCGAAACAGTCGGCAGAACTTAAAATAAATTGGGATGTAGAAAAAAGAAACCGCCGCCGATTAGTTCATTTTCTTCAGACTAGAGTTTCTAGAGAGAATGAAGTATATTTCTAGAATAATGTTCATGATGTACTCACTTGTCTCATTTCCCTAGCTGAGGATGGAGCTGATCGCTCGAATAAACTGGGCGATTCGATTGCCAAACTTTCGTGGCCGCCCTTATTTCTTTTGTATGATACAGGAAGTGAAGGGCATGAACCAAGAAAATCCTTTATGAATCCAATTGCTTCCATCAATCTGCAACATGAAAATGACTGCAGAACATATATTTGATGTCAGTTCATTCACGAGAATGTTTTCAGAATTTCGACCGAGATATAGCCCTAGTCATTGAGCAACTGGTTACCAGCGCCATATCGAGGGCTATAGAATCGCTTAAGAAAGAGAACGAAATCGCTAGACTTCGACGTCAAGCACAGAGCTACAAGGAACTGTTCAACAAGCTTCACCACTCAACCAAATTCACCATTGAAGAGAAGGTCTCACTTAATTTTCAATTCGAAACATCAACCATCTTGTTATGTTCGCCATAGATTGAAATGGGGCGACATTACCTCTCAATGCCTCCAATTTCGTAGTTTACAATGAGCACCAGAAAAAGTTTGAGTAGACCTCAAAATGAAGAAGTATTTCAATAATAGCTTGAGCTTACTTTCCAAGAAGTGCCCAGAAGAAAAAAACGTCAGGAAGACGCGAACTACTCACGTAAGTTTTTCAGCACCAGCTCCAATACCTTCCCATATTATACAATCATCTACAGTACACCATCTAGGAACGCGAGCAAACAAAAAAAAA